GAGGATGGATGGAGGATGGATGGAGGATGGATGGATGGAGGATGGATGGATGGATGGATGGAGGATGGATGGATGGAGGATGGAGGAGGATGGATGGAGATGGATGGATGGAAGATGGATGGAGGAAGCATGTATGTATGGATGGATGGATGGATGGAAGAAGGAAGGATGGAGGATGGATGGATGGATGGATAGATAGATATTGAAGTTTATTCTAAATGATTACAGATCATTGTGGGTGGGGCTATAACCTGTCACTCACATGAGATCAGCCAATAGCAAACCACAACCATCCAATCAATCCCCCACAGACACAATCAAGCCCCGCCCACATTCTCACATCTCGTCTGAGAAAGGTTTCCCTCGGATCTCTGTAGTCAATGCAGCGAAAGCCAATATTCTAATCGCTCAACATGACAGTTCCCGTTTTAAACAATGTGTGTATGGTTCGTCCAAAGATGATCATGAACACCTCTGAAGAACAAAAACTTATTTTAAAGAGGTAATCTGATGCAAAATGTACTTTTATATGGTGTTACTTAATATGCGTTCCTTTACTCGCTTTGCCAAAAAAGCAATCTTCGTAGACCCGATGCGGACACACTTGCAGCGCTTGGACTGTGAACACAACACCAGATCTAGCAGAAGCTGCTGTGAGTCTGGCTCATAGTCACCTGTGATGGGGTTGTAGACCTTGGGCTCGATGGTGCCCATGGGCGGCGGCAGGAGTGTGTTGGTGAAGCTGCGCAGCGGGTGTGTGGGCCGAACACATGCGGTCGGGATGGTTCTGCTGGGGATCTCCTCGGGCCCCGGCGGCTCCGACTGCGCCGTGGGAATCAGCGTCTGCTGTTGCTGAGGAGCCATTGGAGGAGCGCCCTCTGCTGCCATCGCTGAGAAACACACACACACACACACACACATCGGCAGACATCATCAGCTCTACTTTATGCAAATGAGAGGCATAAACTCTACAAATGATGCTTTTCTTACTCAGTATTCTTGTCTCGTTTCCAGTCCAAATATATCACAGTTCTTAAATCAAGATGCATTCACTAAAGTAGTAAAATGCCGTACGATATTATCTGTTTTAAGGCAAAATGATCTGCCAATGGGGTCAGAAAAATAATCTTGTTTCTGTTTGGATTTACATAATTTTTCTGTCCTGATTGACAGATCATTTTGCCTTCAGCTCATTTTCATTTATTTCCCCAGAAAACAAGACATAATATATTATGGCATTTTACTCATCTACATAGTGAACGCATCTTTATTTAAGAATATTTTGATATTCGATTGATAGGCATAAACAGCAGCCAATCACAGATGAAGACAAGCTAGTGATCAGAGTTCCTCAAAGAAAATACATTATATTCTGGGGTTTAAAAGACTACAGACAGAGACACGAGACAGAGCGAGACATAGTGAGAGAGAGTGAGACAGTGAGACAGAGCGAGACATAGTGAGACAGAGTGAGACACAGTGACTCAGAGCGAGACGCAGTGAGACACAGTGAGACAGAGCAAAACACAGGGAGACAGAGCGAGACACAGTGAGACAGAGCGAGACGCAGTGAGACAGTGAGAAAGAGCAAGACAGAGCAAGTCAGAGCGAAACACAGTGAGACAGAGCGAGACAGAGCGAGTTTTGTTGGCTATTGCTGCAGATACACCCTTGCGACTCGTGACTGGGTTTTTGATCCAGGGTCAGATGTGTGTTAATCTCTTTGCTAATCTGTAAAACAGTGTTTCTGAAGCACAGATTTTTGTGACGCAGTGAGACACAGTGAGACAGAGCAAAACACAGGGAGACAGAGCGAGACAGAGCGAGACACAGTGAGACAGAGCGAGACACAGTTCAACAGAGCGAGACGCAGTGAGACACAGTGACTCAGAGCGAGACGCAGTGAGACACAGTGAGACAGAGCAAGACACTGTGAGACAGAGCGAGACAGAGAGAGACACAGCGAGACAGAGCGAGACACAGCGAGCCAGAGCGAGACACAGCGAGCCAGAGCGAGACACAGTGAGTCAGAGCGAGACACAGCGAGACAGTGAGAAAGAGCAAGACAGAGCAAGTCAGAGCGAAACACAGTGAGACAGAGCGAGACAGAGCGAGTTTTGTTGGCTATTGCTGCAGATAGACCCTTGCGACTCGTGACTGGGTTTTTGATCCAGGGTCAGATGTGTGTTAATCTCTTTGCTAATCTGTAAAACAGTGTTTCTGAAGCACAGATTTTTGTGACGCAGTGAGACACAGTGAGACAGAGCAAAACACAGGGAGACAGAGCGAGACAGAGCGAGACACAGTGAGACAGAGCGAGACACAGTTCAACAGAGCGAGACGCAGTGAGACACAGTGACTCAGAGCGAGACACAGTGAGACAGAGCGAGACAGAGCAAGACACTGTGAGACAGAGCGAGACAGAGAGAGACACAGCGAGACAGAGCGAGACACAGCGAGCCAGAGCGAGACACAGCGAGCCAGAGCGAGACACAGTGAGTCAGAGCGAGACACAGCGAGACAGTGAGAAAGAGCAAGACAGAGCAAGTCAGAGCGAAACACAGTGAGACAGAGCGAGACAGAGCAAGTTTTGTTGGCTATTGCTGCAGATACACCCTTGCGACTCGTGACTGGGTTTTTGATCCAGGGTCAGATGTGTGTTAATCTCTTTGCTAATCTGTAAAACAGTGTTTCTGAAGCACAGATTTTTGTTAATGTGTTTGCTAATGTTGCTAACAAAGTTTGTGACACGCAGAAGCCTCACCGGCGGCGTAACCGCGGTCCACGGTGAGCGTGGAGAACGGCATCGGCCTGAGGGTGAACTTCGGGTGAGCGCTGAATCCACAGGTGGGAGACGGCAGGATTCCCGGATACTGACTGCTCTCCAGCGTGGGGACCGGGATAGCACTGACCACCGCTGGAACACACACACACACACACCATGAGAAAACAAGACACGATTCACATGGATAAGCGGAAGCAACAAATATTATTAATTTTATATATTATGAAACAAGTAAATGAGGTCAATTTGTAGAGAGAGAGAGAGTACACGCCTGTGCACATATATATTCACAAACACATCTCTATACACTGAACACTTTCCTGCTGTTACTCTAGATTCAAAACTCATTATAATTATCTTAAATAAAAAACAGAAATAAAAAAGGAACTAAAACAAAATTAACCCTTTCATGTACAGAGCTCACTACAGTGGACAGCTATTCAGCTAGTGTGTGTGAAATACTACATGTAGTATACTACTTGTAATGTGTTCATTGTTAAATCAAAAAGTAATGTTTACGTAATGCACTTTACTTGTAATCGTTATTTTACTCGTTACATCAAAACATTCTGATCACGTAATGCACGTTACTTGAAATAACTTAAACTTAACTGTGTTTGCAATAATTGAAGCTGTATTATATTTTTGGTTTATATTTTACATGATTTTATTCATTGGTTATTTGAACACACAATATTTCTGTGTTATTAGTGTATTATGTTTTATACAGTATCTCTTCAGTTTAACACATACTGTACATTCAAGTGGACATCTATAAAAAAGTTAAAATCTTGTTTTTCATGTAAGAGCAAAAACCGAAGCAAATCTTGACTGAGTTTGTCATAATTCATGCATGAAAGAGTTAATTAGTAATTTGTTAAAATGATCCCTTGAAGGAACCCCTACCAGGTTCTATATATGTTCTATATGTATACAGTATAAGGTTTTTGATAGAGGAGCTCTGTTAACCAAGGCTGGGTTATTCTGGCCGCCGCTGTGATTCACTCATGATCATTAATCATGTTTAAACATTTAAACAACAACAAGAAGAAAAGTGTTTATAATTCAGCCCCCCTAATGCAGACCCCCATTAGTCTGTTTAACTCCTGAATAACACAATCTGAGGACCAGGAGAAGCAGAACCCCAACAGGAGCAGAACCCTTACAGAACCCCTACAGGAGCAGAACCCCTACAGAACCCCTACAGGAGCAGAACCCTTACAGAACCCCCACAGGTGCAGAACCCCTACAGAACCCCTACAGGTGCAGAACCCCTACAGATGCAGAACCCTTACAGAACCCCTACAGGTGCAGAACCCCTACAGATGCAGAACCCCTACAGGAGCAGAACCCCTACAGGTGCAGAACCCTTACAGAACCCCTACAGGTGCAGAACCCCTACAGGAGCAGAACCCCTACAGGTGCAGAACCCTTACAGAACCCCTACAGGTGCAGAACCCCTACAGAACCCCTACAGGTGCAGAACCCCTACAGATGCAGAACCCTTACAGAACCCCTACAGGTGCAGAACCCCTACAGATGCAGAACCCCTACAGGAGCAGAACCCCTACAGGTGCAGAACCCTTACAGAACCCCTACAGGTGCAGAACCCCTACAGATGCAGAACCCCTACAGGTGCAGAACCCCTACAGATGCAGAACCCTTACAGAACCCCTACAGGTGCAGAACCCCTACAGATGCAGAACCCCTACAGGAACAGAACCCCTACAGGAGCAGAACCCCTACAGGTGCAGAACCCTTACAGAACCCCTACAGGTGCAGAACCCCTACAGGAGCAGAACCCCTACAGGAACAGAACCCCTACAGGAGCAGAACCCCTACAGGTGCAGAACCCTTACAGAACCCCTACAGGAGCAGAACCCCTACAGGTGCAGAACCCTTACAGAACCCCTACAGGTGCAGAACCCCTACAGATGCAGAACCCTTACAGAACCCCTACAGGAGCAGAACCCCTACAGGTGCAGAACCCTTACAGAACCCCTACAGGAGCAGAACCCTTACAGAACCCCCACAGGTGCAGAACCCCTACAGAACCCCTACAGGTGCAGAACCCCTACAGATGCAGAACCCTTACAGAACCCCTACAGGTGCAGAACCCCTACAGATGCAGAACCCCTACAGGAGCAGAACCCCTACAGGTGCAGAACCCTTACAGAACCCCTACAGGTGCAGAACCCCTACAGGAGCAGAACCCCTACAGGTGCAGAACCCTTACAGAACCCCTACAGGTGCAGAACCCCTACAGAACCCCTACAGGTGCAGAACCCCTACAGATGCAGAACCCTTACAGAACCCCTACAGGTGCAGAACCCCTACAGATGCAGAACCCCTACAGGAGCAGAACCCCTACAGGTGCAGAACCCTTACAGAACCCCTACAGGTGCAGAACCCCTACAGAAGCAGAACCCCTACAGGTGCAGAACCCCTACAGATGCAGAACCCTTACAGAACCCCTACAGGTGCAGAACCCCTACAGATGCAGAACCCCTACAGGAACAGAACCCCTACAGGAGCAGAACCCCTACAGGTGCAGAACCCTTACAGAACCCCTACAGGTGCAGAACCCCTACAGGAGCAGAACCCCTACAGGTGCAGAACCCTTACAGAACCCCTACAGGTGCAGAACCCTTACAGAACCCCTACAGGTGCAGAACCCCTACAGATGCAGAACCCTTACAGAACCCCTACAGGTGCAGAACCCCTACAGATGCAGAACCCCTACAGGAACAGAACCCCTACAGGAGCAGAACCCCTACAGGTGCAGAACCCTTACAGAACCCCTACAGGTGCAGAACCCTTACAGAACCCCTACAGGTGCAGAACCCTTACAGAACCCCTACAGGTGCAGAACCCCTACAGATGCAGAACCCCTACAGGAGCAGAAGCTCTTCTTGCAAACCCTCAACAAAACAACATCAGCATCCGTGAGAGAGGACGAAGAAGCAGATCCACAGGAGCACGGGAACACTGACCTTGAAAACCTCGAAGAGAGAGAGAGAGAGAGAGAGAGAGGGGGGGGGGGGGGGTAGACGGGACCGACAAATTGCCTGAAGTGTAGAGATCTCTATCTACTAAACTGCCCCAGACGAGCAACTGCTGATTGACTGCAAACTCTCTCTCTCTCTCTCTCTCTCTCTGTGTGGTTTTGCCTACATTGTGTGCAGCAAAATGTTTCAGGATAGAAAAGCGTAAAATCGCCTGCATTAAAGGAGAGCCGGAGTTACATCTCCATGAAAAAATACACATGTGAAGGAATCGACTGGAGATCTTCTAAACTATAGCGAATAAACTGTGATAATGTGAGAAATGTTGAAGGAAGGCTTTTGAATACATTTTGGTTTGTTTGTATATATATATATATATATATATATATCACTATATGAATCTATATGTCACTATATGTTTCCTTTTAGTCTCTATATGTCACTATATTTATCTATATGTCACTATATGTCTCTATATAGTCTCTATATGTCACTATATGTCTCCTTATAGTCTCTATATGTCACTATATGTATCTATATGTCACTATATGCATCTATATGTCACTATTGAATGATTTACTTCATTAATCCCCAGGGGGGAAATTTCTAATCTATATGTATCTATATGTCACTATATGTCTCTATATGTCTCTATCTGTCACTATTTGTCTCTATATGTCTCTATATGTCTCTATATGTCACTATATGTCACTATGTCTCTATATGTCTCCTTATAGTCTCTATATGTCTCTATATGTCACTATATGTCTCTATATGTCTTCTTATAGTCTCTATATGTCACTATATGTCTCTATATGTCACTATAGTGCAGAATTACAACAGTTGCTTGGAATATGTTCAATTTATGGTGTGCAGTATTCAAAATTCACTATTAAAAAGAGTGTGGTTATGATTGTTAAAACCAAAGAGGACCTTGTTTCTGTTTGAATTAACTTTATTTTTTCTGACCCCATTGGCAGATAATTTAGCTTTTTATAAGCAAAAACTCACTTCATTTTAATTTATTTCCCCAGAAAACAAGACATAATATCTTACAGCATTTACCGACTTTAGTAAATGCATCTTGGTTTAAGAATTTTTAGATATTTGGACTGGAAAAGCCTTTTTGCCAGTATATATAAATTAGAAAACGTCTGTATCTCATCATCACTTGGTTCACATGTTAAATCCCGCTCAGTTTGAAGTCTTTCACTGATGATGACTCTCATATTCCACTTCCCGTCAAAGCTCCACTTCCTCCCAGGTTTTTCCTTGGAGAATGAGCCGCTCCTCTTTCCTGTTTCTCCCAGAGGACGGAGATGAAGCGTGTTTGAGGATCGAGATGAAAGCACAGTGCGGAGACTCCCAGCAGGAGGTCAGAGAGGAGGCGCTCCCGGGACGGGATCAAACGCGTGTCCCGGTAAGAGGAACGCATCGGGGCGTCACATGAGGAATCAGAGCCGCGCGTTTCACCCCAAACTCATATACACACACTGCAAACACACTTTTCTCACTCAGCGTTTGTGTTTTATTTCAAGTCCAAATATCTAAAAACTCTCAAATCAAGATGCATTTACTAGATGAGTGAAACGTCTTGTTTTCTAGGGAAATAAATCAATATTGTTTTGTTGCTTTAAAAAACAAAATGATATGCCAAGGGGTGATGGAAAAGACAAAAACACTCACTAAAGACCCGCCTATAACCAAAACATCATTAGCATCGCTTTTCTTGACAATCATGCGCTGTCGCTTTAAATGCTCAAGCAAGACAGATTCTGATTGGCTGTCAATGTTTTTATCATTCAATCAGTCTGGATGCTAATATAGTTATAGACGTTTTTACAGTTTTCATTATTGTTTTTATTACCATTATCACTATTGTTATATTTATAGTTATCTTTTATTGATATTGTTATAGTTATCGCTGTCTTTATTGTTCATCGCTATAGTTATCGTTACTGTTATCATTATATTATTTGTTTGATGCGTTGTCGTAATTTCCACTGAAACAGGAAGCTAAGGTGGGACATTTGAATGGCTCCTCCCCCTATTCAAATAGCCAATAGCGTTCGGTTTCCTTCACAGACGCTGGATTCAACAGGAGAGGATTCATTCATTCAGTCCTAACCAGCGCACAGTCGGAGAGTGTTTGAGCAACCGAACACACACTCCGACCCATGATGCTCTGTGACGGTCAACGCTCGCCTTGGTCAGGGTGGTGTTTATAGCAGAGGGGGCGGAGCTTTAGATTCTAGAGAGCATTTGATTGGACAGAAGATGAGAAGCTGAAGTCGTGGTGATGTCATTCGTAGGTTTTGAATGCTTATATCTCCTAAATGTGAATTTTGTCATAGTTTAGGAACACAGCAGCTCATTCGTAACTTTAATCTAGCATGTTCAGGGGCGTGTGAGAGCGTCAGCGTGTCTCACGTGTGTTGCTGGGCTGCGAGTCCATGGGAATCATCATCTTGGTGCGCGTGGGCCTGCGAGCGGCGAGCGATCTCTCCAGTGTGGAGATGCTGGAGGCTTCATCACCGTCGGCACCTGGACACGAGAGCAGGGTTAGAGTAACACACACACACACACACACACACTCCTCCGGAGAGTACATGCTCTCACCTGAGTGGCTGCTCTTGCTGCCCATCTGGCTCTCTGATTGGCTGTGGCTGACCGGCGCCATCTCCTGGCTCTGGATTGGAGAGTCTCGGCCCGAGGGGGCGGAGCTTGAGGGCTTCTCTATGTTCTTCAGCTCCATCTCCTCATGGTGGATCCAGAGGTCAGGAGGTCGCAGGTCCTTCTGGCTGCCCTTACGCTTCCCGGCGCTGTGTGTCGCACGTTTCCTACGGAGTTACGCAGCACGCTTAAGCTTTCGCAATTAGTTAAAAAAAAAAAAAATGTTTTTCTTCAAAAAATACAAATATAAGATTTGAAGTAGTACACTAAGGGGCAGTTTAAACAACTAAAAACATAATACGTTTTAGGAGTTTTGGCGGTTCACATGCGTATTACGTGTTCAGTCTATAGTGTTTCATCGCCATCTACTGGCCTGGCGACCTCACGTTGTGTCAATCACTTTTACACGCTGCCTCCGAATACTTGCGTCCGTCATCAGGTTCGAATTTCTGCATTTTTAGAGAGAGAGAGAGAGAGAGAGAAACTCACTTCCTCTGCTGAGCGGACGAGCGGCGGGTGCAGATCAGGGCAACGATCACCACGACGACCACAGTAATGGCTCCCACGGAAACCACGATGATGACGAGCAGGTTGCTGTTCTTCTGTGGTGTCACACTGCCGTGCGGCGGCCGCATCTGGCCAATGGGAGGCTCTGAAATCACATCAACACACAGTCTGGTGACTCTCTTACATACAGCATATACATCAGGCGCTTCATATGTACAACGTTGAAGTTTCATAAAAAAAACATCATTTTGAATGAAAACGTCACGTCTTCACACTTTTGGGATTCAGAGCGATGATCGAAACACAGATGTCCATCATCATCATCATCATCATCATCAAAGCTTCAGTCGTGTCCTCTTCGTGGGTTCACCATTTCATTCAGTAACATCAGGCAGTTTTGATTAATTAGCATATACGCTGTTTAATGTTTGATGATTGCGTTATAATTAACATGCGTTTCAACAATGCTTCTATTGCTTGTTTCTGCTTCTTCTTCACCCGTGTTTTGATTCTCCTGTGTAACAGTGCCTACTAACATATAACAGTGGACAATGCCAGGGGAAAGGGTTAAAACACAAGTATTTTTCACATTAAAGGGGTAATAAGTCTCTGATGTCCCCAGAGTGTGTGTGTGTGTGTGTGTAGTTTCAGCTCAAATATCCCACAGATATGGTTATACTGTACATCATGTTAAAATTGTCAATTTTGAGAGTGAGCAAAAACACACTATTTTGTGTGTGTCCCTTTAAATGCTAATGAGCTGCTGCTCCCGGCACAGGGGGCGGAGCTTCAAGAGCTGTGTGTGTGTGTGTTTACTGTGAACGTTTAGCCTTTTATGTTCAAAGCGGAGTCAGATAAAGATGGAGCGACTCTAGAAGTGACGACATTTCTGAACGGTTAGTCGACGAGTTTATGTATCTGATGTGGAGTTAACTATCTTACAGTCGTTGATTAGCATATTAGTCATGATAATCTATTAATCGTGTTCCGGGGGCGGGGTTTATGCAAATGTTATGGTTGGTGATGTCAC